CGCAAATGCTGTTTGAAAAAGAACAAGGCGGAGGCTGCACTACCTGCAGAAGGCGACCTGGTCGCACGACATCAGCGTCGAGCTGACCTCTCCAAAACGATCTCATACCAATGGCGTTTGCTGTTTGTAGAGGAACGTAAATTCTGGGGCAAACTCACGAAGCAGAGGAAGAAAGAGCACGAGGAGATGAATACCCATGGTACGTCTATCGATTGTTGTGATTTGCTAAGGTAGTGATAGTTTTGTTTCTGTTATAATGTGTTAATTTATGTACCGTTCGGCGTTGTTAGTAAAGAATAAAATATTTAAATAAAATATATATTGTATAATAAGCCATTCAGATAAGATATAAGCTGTAAATTAACTTATTTAAGGATTATAAGATAGCAGAAGAAGTATTATGCCATATCAGAAGAGGGGTGCAATATATACCATTATAGACTTTCCTAAGAGCTATAATTCTTATATCCCCATTGTAAGGACATGTAATGTTTATTAATTCTCATAATATAAATCTGTCTTATTACAACCTTATAGTATCTTTTATATATCTTATCCAATGAGGGGTGCAATAAATGTCATTATGGATAATACTGTTTTTTTACATATTATATATGCATATAAGAGTATATAATAATTAAGACTTTTTCCTGACGTCACCCCTTGTCTATGCATGCCCCCCTTAAGTTCTCCCTCTTAACAGGTTTTCGAGCTAAGGGTTAGGGGATTCTTTCTCCTTCTCGGCGCTCGATTACTAGGTTATCCCAGTCAGTAGTTGAGTGTGCTGGTAAAGAGAGAATCTTTGCATAAGGCTAGTATACCTATCCTTACACAGAGTGGTGTAAGAAGTTATTATTTGTAAGCAATGAACACAGAATCGACGCAGATCAGACATTTTCTAACTAACCTAACGTGTACCTTCATACAGGTATGGTTCACAGTTTACATGCAGCGGAATGCCTTGTTCTAGCTGGTATTTCCGCCTCTCGCCCGAGCCTCGACTGTCACTGATAAATGAGCATCAATCATTGAATATCAACCTTCTGTGAGATGCACCCACGCAAAAGGATCTGATCATCAGGCATGCTGTCCGAGGAGTCAATTGTGGGGCCTACTCTAAGTAGACCAGTGCATCAATAAGCTGGATGCACTCGTTCTACAACGCCCGCCATGGCTCCTACCTCCGCAGCTACCCACTTGGACTTGACAGGTTTGCCTTTTATTGTTATCTTACTTCTGCATCACACTGATACTTATACATTGCAGTTATCCGTGCATCTGAAATAAAATGGCATTCAACCTTTCGCAGCGAACTACCAAACTTATACATTCAGGTGGTGTTCGGCAAGATACACAGACGAACAAGGACTGTCAAGAGGAGTCTATCACCTGAATGGCATGAGCATATGTCTTTTGAACTGTTAGTACACCAAGTGTCGAACTGGAGCAATAATTGATATGAACGCCTACAGACGATCCATGGACCAGAGTGCGAGCCTCTCAATTCAGATTAAACATGATTCATCGCGTTGGAGAGATAAATATTTGGGCAAGGTCGAAGTAGCAGCAAATGAGTTGTTAAACAGGTGTGCCAATGGCAATGGTGCGCAAACTTGTTCTTATCAAGTGCTACACATATTGACTGTAATGCACAGAAGTGGAGCTTTATCTAACTGTGCCGAGCAGTTCAGCAACGTCGGAGACTGCTGCGATTCTCCATTTACGTTTGGAGGCTGTGGACACAACGACAAGCGTTGGTCGCAGCATCGAGGCTACAAAACAAGCAATCCAGACCAGCAGTATCTTGGGATCGGCAGCGGCTTCAGATTCGATCGTTATTGCAACGGTCAAAGGTGGTGAAGATCATGTTGCTGCATACAATGATCTGTACCAGTCCGTTGGAAAACTTGTCTCGAAGCTGGACATCTTTGTTGGTGTTATTGACAAACTATCTGAGGTAAGATTTGCCGGTCACAATACTCATCTATTATTGATGAGAAGTGCTAGGTCCATCCATACGTCAATTTTGCATGGCAGGTTGCATCGGCGCTGTACAAGGTATGCTAAATAGACGTCATTTGACATCTCTGACCGAGTCCTTCAGACCATCAGACATCAGTTCAAAGTCGACAAGAAAGTTGTTGAACTCGTGCATGCCATGGAGGATGCCTTCAATTTCGTTCACGAAGCAGACTTACTTTTTAACAACTCGCAATATCTCAAGGCAACCATGGTCGGATTGCTAAAGCAGACTGACGAATGCTGTCTTTTCGTTCAGGAATATGCACGACATTCGTTCTCAGGTGTGCCTAGTATTGACATGTTACTCAGTAAGCTCATTCTGTGCAGGACGAAGGCTCAAGCTGGACGTGGATGGAAAAGTCAAGGAGTTCGCACGGTCCTTGCGCCTACTCAAGCACTCGATTGGTTCTGGTACTATGATTCACACAGCTTTTGTATCATCGAGGATATCTTCCAAAGTTGACAGCTTATGTATGTGCTCTGCTCCATTTGTACATCTTTTGAATCTCATTAATGTCGACCAGATTTATCGGGCCGGCTACAACCAGAAAAGATGGACGCATTTCACCGACCTCAGTGCCTCCCGGGAACACGAACAGAAATCATGAGGCAGGTGGTGGAATGGGTGTTGTCGGATTCGGACAAGAATGTGTTTTGGCTACACGGTGTTGCAGGATCTGGTAAGAGCACGGTCAGCACCACCATTGCAGAATACTTTCGTGGCATATCTCGTCTTGGTGCCCATCTATTTTTTGAACGTGGGAAGAGTGATCCTAGCTCTGTCATAAGCACGCTCGCTTACAAACTCGCTTCATTTGACTCCTCGGTGGCGATAAACGTAATCGGAGCCATCGAGCAGGACGACAATATTGCTCAGGCCCCATCGGCAACTCAGTTTGAAAACCTGCTTCACAGTCTGCTTATTCTATCTAGGGAAGCTATGCAAGGGCCTGTTGTGATTAGGTGACTTCAATTAATTGGCAGGAGCACTTGCAGGACAGTTGGAAAATTTTGGGGTGGCTTGGCAAAGTGGACGTACCTTAATATATACCAAATAGAGATGTAAATCTGTGCAACTCTCTACAAGTGTCTGCAAGTGCTTGAACCCACATTAGCACTTGCAGACACATTAGAGTTTGAAATAAAGAAATGTCTGACTACAACTGAACAAAAATCATGAGTAACATGACATGGGTATTAAATGTCAATCTTTACAAGTCCAGCTCTTCAATTTTGAGAGACTTGCATAACTCTTGGCATCTTAACTCTAAATTGCTAAAGCCCTTCTGTAAGTGTCTCTACCAATTAATTGAAGTTGCTTACTGTTAAGAGAGAAAACTTAAGGGGGGCATGTATAGACAAGGGGTGAGGTGACAATTGACTGCTCAGTGTCTCTCATCCTTATATTGTATGTATTCTAACTGAGACATTATGAAGTCATTGTCTTGTGGTTTGTCTATTGATGAACTAATTATCTCATAATACTCCCCTTCAAACTCTTACTAGTCTAAGTAAACTGGTAAGATGTTTGACTTGTGGTACATGTAGTGCTTTAGTTAATATATCTGCTTGTTGATTGTTTGTCTGTATGTATTTTGCATTTATGTACTCTAACTCAATGTAGCATTTAATAAAATCTTTCTTATGATCTAAATGCTTTGTTTGTTCTGAATATTTGAGTTTGTCTGATGTAACTGTTTGTATAACAGTATTGTTATTACAATAGATATTAATTGGTGCATCAGAGACCTGTAGAATCTCTTCAGCTAAATGAGTGAGTGTAATTACTTCCTGTGTTCCTCTTACAAGAGCTATTAATTCAGCTTCATATGTCAAATTTGCTACCAGTGTTTGTCTTTTACTTGACTACAAAACTAATGAATTGCTCAAGTAAAATACATATCCTGATATTGCACAATGCCCTTCTTGTATCATACTG